CGAGCGTCCATTCATCCATCCATCCATCAATCGCCTCGTGTGGCACCACAGCCAGCCCATCGACCACCCAGTCAGTCAGTCAATCTGCTCGTCTGCTCGTCTGTCTGTCTGTCTGTCTTGCCCACACATACAGTAGCCAAGCCCCTCCCTCTGATAAACAGCCAGCCAAGCCCCTCTCTCTCCCTGTTTCCGTGTGCGTCTATATTGTCTGTGTCTGTCTGTCGGTGTGGGTGGCCTGGCCTGCAGCCAAGCACCCACGCCAGACAGACAGACAGATTCAATCAAGGGGGCGGGGGAGTCGAGTGCGTCTGCACAGTGTGTGTGTGTGCACACGGCATGGCTGTCTGTCTGTCTGTCTGTCTGTGGCAAAGTGGCTGGGTGGGAGTGACGTGTGCGCGCAATGATGGTGTTTGATGCAGGGAGTGTGTGTTGGCTTGACTGACGGCAAGTGTGCGATCGATGAGCGCCGACGAAGACACGACAGTGTGTGACTGGTTGGTCGATGCAGAGGGATGGAATACCCACAAATGTCAGTACTAGAGGTGCTTGCAGGCACCGATGCGTCGCGTCGAATCCTTTTCATGTCAGAGGGTCTCTCTCTTACAAAGGTCTCCATCCCGCCATCCATGGCCATTCATTCGATAGAGCACCGGTCCATCCAATGCATTGCAACGACATGTTCACTCATCAACACAGTGCCGTCGACCGGATGGAAATTCCGCTCCTCCAGCGGCCATTCGATCCCCCGCTGCGTAGGAATCAGACGACTCGCATCGACACAAGCCGCACCAAACCGACACAGAGAGCGGGTGAAAGAGCTGCTGGAGGAACAGTGTCAGTCTTCCACCCAGGCGACAAGACGCAAAGGACGAGACAGACACCCAGGCAAAGAAAAGACACATCAGGACGTCAACTGTCCCCCCCTCCTCCCTTCTACCCCCTCCTCCCTGTCTACCCCCTCCTCCTCACACACACATATATAGAGGGAGGGACGAATGCACACGCTGCTACGCATCGCCAGCTGCAGGGCCACCTGATCACCCAAAAGACAACACAACACAACACAACACACCAATCAAGCCAAGCCCGTGTTGGTGCAGGAGTGAATGACGGGCGCGCCTCAGGTACCTACCTTGCTGCTGCAGCACTCGTACTATCTCCCTAACGGCAGCGAGCCTCCTCTCCTCACGCTCTATCTGCAGCTTCTTGCGGTCCGCCACAGGCCCGATCCGTGTGCCTGGCGGCTGGCGTCTGTCACACCCTGGGCGCTCCAACTCACAGTGCAGGAAGCCGATACGACCTGAATCAATCGGACATACACATACGCGCACAGGCCATCCATCCATCCACTCTTTCTCCGGTGGGGTGCGTACGTGAGATGTCGTCCCTGGCGTCGTCCAGTCTGTCGATGACCGTCTGCCACCACGCAGCGGGCATCTCCCCCATCAGCTTCTGCACCTTCCCCGCCCCCTGACCCGCCCCCTGGCCCGTACACCCCTCCATCACGGTCTCATACACCACCCACCCCACCACCTTGTTCTTGATGGCCTTGTCGTTCTTCAAGGCCGGCTTCTCGCGCAGGACCAAGGCCAACACGCCGGCCAGGTGCAGGGCCTCACTCCCGCCGCCGATTGTGGGGTGAGAGGGGGGAGGGGCAGGCTGTGAGGGGGGACGGGCAGGCTGTGATGCGTACGTGTGGGCCGGCAGGCTGGGAAACTCGGTGGGGTATCCATCATCAGCAACGTCAAGGGGGGAGCGGGGAGTGGGAGTGGGGGAGGGGAGTGGGGAGTCGGGGAAGTGGGGGGGAGTGGGGACTATGGGGAGGGCCTTGCTTGGGGGGCCAAGAGGAGGTGAGTCGAAGTGCTCCATGATGCGGTTGAACAGCAAGTCGGCGTAGTTGTCCATCCCGAGGTAGTTACAGGCGACCCACAGGTGCAGCAGGCCCGTCTTGGCCGCCTCGTCGTCCGACTGGTCCGCCGCCGGCAGCGGGGTGGCTCCGGGGAGGCTGCGGATGTGCTCGTTGAGCTTGCGGCCATCGGTCATGCCGCGCAAAAAGGCGAAATTGATGAGCTCGCCGAACGTGTTGGGGTGAATGTTGGGCAGCGTGATCGTGTGGGTCTCCCGCTCAGTGCAGTTCATATGGCCCTCCAACATGCGCTTGAAAAACGGCGACATGCTCACGAGCAGCGACTTCTTCTCGTAGAAGACCTCCTTCTTGAGGCCGACAATGAGCTTCACCAAGACCTCCTCCTTGTGCGCCATCCTGAGGCTGGGCGGCTACTCCGTCAGATGGTGCAAACCTGCAGGCAGACACCAACCACAGCAGCAACGACATCTATGGAACGACATCCATGCATCCATCCAACGTCACGCATTCGTTGCTCACCCTTGGCGAGATGTCGCCGTCGTGGTTCGATATCAGCAGCAGTGCTGTGCTCGCTGCTGCCAGCTGTATGGCTCGGCTTACAGCAGAGAGGGGCACATGAGCGATGGCAGGTGGCGCAACGTCGTCAAAACAGAGGCTGGGCGGCTGGTTGACTCATCAGAAGCCGCCAAAACACCTTCCTGCGCCTGCCAGCTACTATCACCGGTCCCCGACCGGCTGCTCAGAGCTGCGAGCTTGGCGATCTTCCCTCGAAGGTGATTTCTCTTTGGTTTGTCCTGTCTGTATGCCTGGTGCCTCACTTCTGAGAAAGCACATGTGAAAAACGACTTCGCCGCGTTCCATCTCTTCCCGGCTGCGCCATTCACAATGGATCACACCAACGGGCTGCTGCACCATGCCGATGCGTTCGTCCGGCATGTCGGGTCACTGTCGCCGTCTGAGCAAGAAGCAGTGCTCACGCAAGTGCTGGCCAGCCTGAAGGAGGGCGACTTCCAGGACGCGCTGCGGTCTGTCTACACGCTGCAGAGCTACAACGACGAGGGTGAAGATGTGCCGGCACGGCTGTGGGATGTCTGGTCCGTGCCGATCTACTGCTTCATTCTCGACCTGTGCGAGTATGTGGTGGAGAAAAACCCGGTGAGCACACAGACACAGACAGACAGACAGGGAGGGTCAGTGGTGCGTCCGGTGGTTCATTCACCGCTGCTGTGCTTGCTTTGTTTGCTTGTTTGCTTGTTTGCTTGTTTGCTTGTGTGTGTGTGTGTGTGTGTGTGTATCACTCAGGAGGCTCGTCCCGGCTCGACGGTGACGATAACTCTAGAGGAGAACTACTTTGCGTCGTATGTGCACATCTACACGCTGATTGAGAAGTGCCTCGTGCCGCACACCATCTACCGCGACACTGACAGCCGCCGCCGCATCATGAGCCTGGTGAGCCGCATGCTGGAGAACAGCAAGCGCCGGAAGAAGATGCGCTTCGCCCGGATGTTCGAGAACCGCGTCGTGACGCTCCTGTACTCGCTCTCCGGCATTTCGGTGAGTGAGCAGGGCGGGGAATCACACATCACACAGCATACTATACCCGCTGGGTATGGTGGTCATTTCATTGGATCATGTGTGTGGTGTGTCGTGTGTGGTTGGTCAGAACATCTCGCGTCTGTTCCCGCCCAAGGCCAACCTGCGCAAGGCGCTCGAGCAGGAGATCAACACCTTCGTGGTCAGCAGCGCCGTCAAGGAGGATGACAGAGCCGCATGGGCCAAGGTACACACACACACATACACACACACACACACATACACACCAGCCACACCAGCCGCCACGTAACGTTACTTACTTTGCCCTCCTTCCTTGTCTTGTTTTGGCAGACGATTGGCCGCATCCGGGAGGCGGTGAGCACGCTGTTCCACACGGACGCGCTGCTCTACGGGTCGGTGGTGTCGGGCCTGGCCACCTCGGGCAGTGACGTCGACATGGTGGCGATCCTCCCCCGTGCAGAGGTGCAGAAGCTGATGGTGGGTGCGCCCAGCCACGCCTACATCGAGATGCACCGGCAGCACAAGTGGCACATCAGCAAGCGCATGATTGAGGAGGCCGACCTGCGGGCGCGGGCGTGCAACAAACTGGGGGAGTATCTCAAGGACGTGAGTGAGACGGGCGGGACGGAGGGAGGGAGGGATGGTGCAGACGGACACATCGCATCGATGTGTGTGTATGTGTGTGTGTGTCAGCATTACAGCGGTGACATGAAGGTCGACGTCGCCAGCACAGCGCGCGTGCCAGTGGTGCGCTGCTCGCCTTTGGTACGCAGGCCAACCACACACACTCACACACACACCAATCGCCACACCCTCACTCATGCGCCTGTGGGTCTGTCTGTGCGCGCAGCCGAGCTGGGGCAGTTCCAGCCAGGACACCTGGGGAGCGGCTTCAACTGAGTGGGGATCGTCCAGCTGGGGTCCCCCCAAGACGAGCAGCAACGGCAGCGACGACAGCCGAAAGGTACCCACACGCACACACACATGACGGGCACACGACGCACAGACGCATGTGCGCGTGCGTGCGTGTGTGTGTGTGTGTGGTCAGGAGGATGGCAAGGCCGCTGGTGCGGTTGACATCACGTTCGAGAACCCTTTGGGCATCCACAACTCTAAGCTCCTGCGCGCCTACTTCGAATCAGCACCACTCGTCAGGAAACTCGGTGAGCAGACGCATGGTGCTCTCATGTCATGTGTGTGCGGCACACACATGACGTCACAACTCGACCGGCAGAGATGTGCAGGTAATGTGTGTGCGTCTGCCTGTGTGGGTGTGTGGCGGTCTGTCTGTCAGCGTTGTTCGTGAAGAAGTGGGTGAAGGCCCGCGGTTTGTGTGACACAACTAATGGGTATTTGTCGTCGTACGCCTGGTCTCTCCTCGTGGTCTTCTACATGCAAGTCAGGTGAGACTCGTGAGATAGACAGTCGGCCTAACTGAGTGACAAGGGCACACACACACACACACACACCAGCTCCGGCTCAATCATGTGTGCCTCTGTCTCAATGTGTGTGTGTGTGTGTCACAGGCGTCCCCCTCTGCTGCCGAATCTGCAGAAGCCTCGTGACGGCGGTGCTGCCGGCGAGGAGATCGTCGAGACCTACGACTTCCTCAAACACGCTGACATCAAACACAACGTCTGCAGCCACACACACGCCCCACACATCCATCCATCCATCCATCCTACCTTTTCATCAGGTGTGGTTCGACGATCCGCCGCTGGACGAGTCGCGCCCGTCGTCCCGCGCCACGCAGCTGAGCAGCTCCTTCCCCTCGGAGCGTGTCTCGTCGTCCATGTCGACGGGCGTGCCGAGTGATGTCGAGGGCGAGGAGGCCTCAGAGGCGGAGAGCGAGCGTGAGAGGCTGTGCAAGGTGGAGGCCTATGTCAAGGACGCCAAAGACGAGCTCGAAATGCTCAGAATCAACAGGTGGGTGGGAGAGAAGGGTGGGTGAGGAGAGGGAGAGGGAGAGGAGGGTGGGGTGCATGCATTGCAGTGCATGGGTGGGTGTCTTGTTGGTCGCTCGTTCCTTCAGACGTCGTATCAATTCATACGCCGGCAACGTCGAGGGCCTCACACTGCCCGACCTCCTCTATGAGTTCTTCAAGTGAGCGACCCACAAACCAAACCCACACACAGACACATCACATAACATCCTCCCCTCTCCATCTGATCGGCACTGCATGGATATCGTCAGGTTCTACGCCTGCCAGTTCAACGCGCACAAGTGCATCGCCTCCATCCGGCTCGCCCCGGCCCTCATGTCCAAGCCCGAGTACATTCGCATGTACCGCCGCGAGCGTCAGTACACCAAGCGCCCCGACTCGGACGGGCCAGCCTGCCCCGACATCCAGGTTGCCAAGAGCACCCTCTTCAGCGACTTCGCCAACATCGGTGGCGGCCAGATCGACGAGAGCGGTGACGAGAAGGAGGAGATGGACAGAGGGGAGGGGCAGGAGGACGGTGGTTTCGATAAGGAGGGGACGCCTGCAGATGTTGGAGACAAGGAGGAGGTGAGCGACGCGGAAGAAAGAGTGAACTTCATCCATATCATCGGTCCGTCTCTGTGTGTCGCTGTGTCTGCAGAAGGGTGGTTGCGAGGAGGAGGGGGAGGCAGAGAACCGCGAGGAGAGTGTGGAGCCGCCCATGTTCCTCTCCCTCGACTATTGGAAACGATTCCAGGTGGGCACATGCACAGTGTACACACGCGCCGCGCCCAGATGATGCACTGCACACGACAGAGCGCTATGGTCACTCACCTGCTGCCGCATGTATGTGTGTCTTGCTTGTCAGGACATGTGTGTTGAAGATCCCATTGAGACCGATCGCATCCTCGCCTGCGACCGACAGGTACGGTACCTACCTGACCTGCATTGATCCATCTGCCCACCTGATGCACGTGTCCCCTTCGCCCGCCTTCGCTTCTCCAGGGGCAGGAGCGCATGGCGTTTGAGTTCCGTCGTGCCCTCATGCTGCTCGCCACCGGCCAGCCCATCAGCCGCATTGCCGAGGAGTTCAACCCGCCCGTCGACCCCAATCGCCGTGGCGCACCCCGTGGTCCAGATGAGACCGTCCCGCACTATCCCCCCTCACCGGACATGCTGCTGCCGCCGCCCGAGGCTGTTGTGCAGCCACAGCCCGCCCCGTCCCCGTCGCCCCCACGCAAGGAAAAGGACAAGGACAAGGAGAAAGACAAGGACAAGGAGCCCAAGGAGAAGCAGCAGGTCCAGACCAAGAAGGCCCCTGCGGCTGCCAGCGCTTCTTCCGGCAGCAAGCAGGGCGGCAAGGCGGACAAGGGCATGCAGAAGGGCAAGGCCTCGGCCACAGCGAGGCAGCAGCCATTCCCTTCTCTCGTCTCTGCTCCCCAGCCTACCACCCCTCCCCAGCCCCCTCCCCCTCCATCCATGCCACATCCGGCTCGTGGTCTGTTCGGTCCTTCGCCCTCGCCCTCGCCCCCTGGCAGAATGGCGGGCCGCGGCATTCTTCCTGCCGGCATGGGTCATGGCGTGCCCCCTCAGCCGCAGCAAAGCTACCCTCCCCCGACCATCATCAGCCCCCCACCCTCGCTGATCGCCCCACCCCCACAGCAGCAGCAGTACTACAACGTGTCGCAGGCCCAAGGCCTCATGGACCAGCTCATGGGCATGCAGCAGCAACAGCAGCCCCTGCAGCAGCAGCAGCAGCAGCAGCAGCCGGCGGGAGATGGCGGGACGTCCAAGCGCAAGAAGGGTGGTGCTTGGCAGGTGCCGTCGCCACCACAGCCGCTGGCGGGTCAGGAGCCCCCATTCCGTCCCGTATCCTTGCAGACGGTGCCTGAGCCGGAGCCATTCGTCCGCTTCACGTCCCACACCTCCACCCTACCCCCTCCCCCATCCACCGAGACCTCTGTCGCGCCACAGAAGAAGCCACGAGGCAAGACCACGAACCGCTTCAGGCAGCAGCAGCAGCTCAACGACATCTCAGAGGAGCCCGTTGATGAAGTTGCAGTCACCAAGAGCGACGCCGGCGACCGAGCTGCCGAGTCCTTGTATGCCACCCCCGAGCGGCCGCAGGGTGGGGGTGGTCTCAATCGGGCCATGTCTGAGCGGGGCAGTGTGTCGCCGGGTCCGATCCTGCTGCGGCATGCGCATGGAGTGTTCGCCGGCATGGGTGTGAAGCCGAGCGAGGGCAAGGAGGGCGAGGATGGGGTGAACAAGGAGGGTGAGGACGGTGGTGTGAGCAGAGGCGTGTCGTCGAGTGCAAGTGCATCAGGGAGTGCAGAGGGCGGGGAGGGAGAGGCCAAGGGGAAGGGCAGAAGGTCTGGTGGCTGGTTGTCGTTCTTCGGTGGTGGTGGTGGTGGTGGCAAGAAGGGCAAAGAGTGAGTCTTGAGTGAGTCAGAGAGTCATGCTTGAGTGATACAGGCACCATACACACAGATCATCAGAGTGAGACACTGCCTTTGTTTGAGTGAGAGGTGGGTGCGTTGGGGATGGGTGCATCGGGTTGATCCTGATTGAGTTGTTCGTTGCAAGGAGACTCTTTCGTGTGTTGACGTGTTGTTCCTGTCCATCATGCGCATGAGTGTGTTCGTCGGATTCGTCGATCCAACGAAACACGCTTGTACGCACGATGGTGAGGGACTGCACTGCGACACGTCGGACCGCTCAACACGTCACGACTGCCGCCTGGTCGGGAAACCCTAACAGATGGCCCCAAACCAGCAGCTCGCACTCCCTTTCGCTCGGTCCTCAACTTGTTCGCGACGGCGCCTGGCGGCTCTATGCCCCGGATACTCACATGGGGAGAGTGAGGGCAAGTACACAACCAGCCCCGGCCCCACCTACAGAAGAACAAGGTGATGAACGTCAAGGCCCATCCATCAACACTGGTCTCTGTCCACGGTGCCGTCGAGTAGCCACAGAGCCTATCGAGCGCATCGTCATTGCAACTGGGCTGAGAGGCTCGGTGTTGCGGCCTCGCCACTGCAGTGGGCCTTGCCGTCTGTGAGTGAGTGGAGGAAGGATAAGGATGCGTGTGCGGTGGGGGTCGTCTCTGATTGGCCTTGCTGTTTCGCTGGGGGTCCGCATGACTGTGGCTGAGGTCGTCAAGCCATCAGAAGACTTCTCGTGTCACGGTACGCACTGTACGCCATCTCTGCAATAACCTCTGCAATGGATCCTCATTCCGGTGTCCGTACTGACATGCAGATTGCACTGCTCACGCGGATCTGCGTCTTGTCAAGCCTGGCGCCCAGGCGGACATTGCGTCAAAGTGTTTCTCCCCTGCTCCCCCTTCCTTCCTTGAATCGTCTTCTCTCGAGTCATCGGTCATCCCCCACACCGGCCCCTCACACACAAGACGGAGAAAGAAACATGACGCCGGCTCTTTCTCTCATGCGGCTCACAAACGCTCTCTCGACGCTACCGTTGGGTAGGAAGGCCAGCCTGCCGGAAATGACACGGCAGCCGGCGATGAGGCGGCGTCAGCTGCTCAGCCTGATCCGATGGAGATCGAGGGGGTGTCACGGTGCTGCTCGGAGTGCCTGAAGACACCTGGTTGTGAGATATGGCAGTATAGGATAGATACGGCGTGCTGCGACCTATTCTCGGACAAGTTTATGACCAAGGGAGCGGAGCGGAGCAACAAGACCGTCGTTGGGATGCCTCTGCCAAGTAAGACGACAGTGCTCATGAGGTTCATTGGTGGTGGATGCGGGCCTTTTCCCCCTCAGTTCGCAAGCCGGATGGCGGGATCTTCATTCGAGACGCCACTGAGATCGACAACAACACCTATCTGTCCTATCGGGCCGTCGGCAAAGGTAGGTCAGACACCCATTATTCTCTCGCGCCTTGATGCCCACTATCTGTCCAGACATTCTGAGTGACGTCGCCCCGCTGCCGCGCTTCCCTTACGACTTCGCCTTCGCCACGACCAAAGGCGAGATGCAGGAGTCGCTCAAGGACGACTACAACTGCATCAAGGTGCTGAGCAATCGGGACAAGGAGGGCTACTTCTGTGCCAAGAAGGGGCTGGCGGACCTCAAGATGGAATGGCTCGTCAAAGCCGACGCCAACAAGCAGTGTGTCAAGATCGCTACCGACGACACGTCGGAGGATGGATACCTCTGCTTTGAGGGATGGCCGCAGGTGTGTGTGAAGTGGCTGCATTGCATACGTCTGTCGATCTGTCGGTGAGTGAGTGTGTCTGTATGCAGGCCGCAGACTTGGTGTTTGTTAGCGGGGGTGCCTTGGGTCTTGAGAAGAGGGAGACCTGCATGAGATGGGTGCCCACCCTCGGCTACAAGACCTGGACAGAAGCCTACCTATGCGCACGCACGTGAGTCCAACCGAAGGGCAATGAATCAACACACACAGAGTGAACACCCAACACAACAAACACACATAAATGCATCCCACCACCAGGCCAGCACGACAACCCCAAGCTCTACACGAAGCTGGCGGTGCCTTCCTGCAAGCAGGTGGAGGTGTGCAACACGACAGCAGGGGATCTGTGCGCCCTGACCAACAACCCCCAAGACATGAAATGCCAAACACAGGCCACGCAGTAAGCAGACACACAGATGAAACGAACGAAGAGCTGATGTGAGTGGCACATGTCGCCTGGCCTTAGCAATGAGTTCCTGGGCAACGTGAGTCGGTCCGAGGGCGGCTGGCAGGGCAAGCTCTTCTGCGCAAACTGGGACAAGACATTCATCGCAAACCCAGGCAGGCACAACCACACCACGCAGACAGAAACATCTTGAGACACACAACACCTTCCTGCTCTCTCCCCCCCTCACATCTATCAGAGTTCCAGGCGGAGAACAAGCCCCCCAATCAGCGCAACGAGTGGTGGCTGATCCTCATCTCGCCCGACCACAGGCTGGGTGACAAGTTCAGAGTGGAGGAGGCCCGGTGCTGCGAGACCGCCTTTGGGGCCCCCTGTGTGAAGACCTTCCCCGAGGGCGCCCAGCGTCTGGCGGCCACCATCCTTAACGAGACACTGATTGTGGTCAAGGGCGACGCGGGGATGCTCAAGAATGTGGGGGAGACGGAGCAAACCTTCAAGCTGCTCGAGAAGGAATACCTCCTCGAATGCACCGGAGGTCAGTGGTGGTGGCTGCCTTGCCGTTCATTTCTCGCTGTGTTGTCTGTCTGTTTCTTTCCTTCAGATGGGCCAGATGAGGGCTGCGAGAGTATCCAGCCACCACACCCACCCATGTGGCAGCAAACTAGCCAGGCCTCCACGCGCTGTTGTGTGTGTGCTTTCGCAGGGGGTATACAGCTTCGAGAAGCCCGAGCACGGAGATCAGGTCTACTGGATCGACGCACTACCAGAACCCGAATTTCGCAACTACTTCGGCCAGCTCGTGTCGTGCCAGCGACCGAGAAGGTGCGAGACGCTCTGCCTCGTCAAGCGGCCCACATACCCCCCTGGGGAATGCTCAGTCACCGATTTCGGTACCTTATGTGTCCATAACACGCAGCCGTGGCCAGTGTTGTGTCTATGTGTCTGTTGCGTTGTGTCAGGCAATCCGTGTCTCGGGGTCGGGCCGAAGAAGGTGGTCGAGCAGACGCTGCACTTCGTGCAGGGCCCGCCCCTGCTGCCGGTGGAGTGGCTGGGGCACTTCCTGCGCAACGGCACCAAGGAGGAGGTCTACCAGATAGTGCAGCACGCGGGCGTCCGATTCCCAAAGAAAAAGAAAGGTCAGATAATGCAGGGCCATGTCTCTCTCTCTGCCTCTCGGTGCATCAGGACCTACCTGTGTATGCTATGCTGGGTGGTCTGGTCAGTCGCTGCCAAGAAGGGCGCGAACGGGTGCTGCATGGTGCGTGACGATAAGGACGAGACCAAGCTCCTCAAGACCTGCGACAGAAAGAACCCCATCCCTGTCGAGCGGTTCATACTCGAAACCATGCGCGACGAACCAGACCCAGTCCCTTGCAAAGGTCAACTTCTTCTCCCCATCCACCACAAACACACAAACACACAAACACACACTCAGAGGTCTCTTTCCTTGGTCCCTCCCGTCTTTCAGATTCCCACGGCAACTGGAGTGAGGTGGGCATCAACGAGGCCTGGGTGTTGGGGTGTCTGGCGGTGGGCGGCGGCTGCAAACTGGGAGTGGGCTCCGAGGAGCTGTGCAAGGTGGAGTGCGAGCACCTGGAGGCCAAGGAGAAGTGCAACTCGTTCAACTACTTCAACAAAGACGGAAAGCCCAGCTCCGCGGAGTGCTGCCTGCAGTCGTGTCCGGATGTCACCAACCCCGTCAAGCGGCAAATCAAGCCCAAGGAGCTGCCGGGGTGGAAGAAAATCGTCAATTTTGCCGGTCCGTGCGGCGAAAAGAGCACTTGCCACCGTCTGTCTGTATGCATGTCTCACTGTGTGTTGTGCATTTGCGCACAACCAGCAACCGAGGGAATCGACGTCAGCCAGCTTAAATTCCGTAAGCCCTTTATCAATGGGGAGAGACATGGAGGCACGAAAGAAGCTCTCTCCCTTTCTGTTGTGTGTGATTTGCAGCGTCTCCGGGGTGCAGTGCGGTGGTTTTGCAGAACAGGGATGCCAACAACGGCGTCTACTCGTTCAACATCGACGGCATCCCCTTCAAGTCGTACTGTGTCTTCGACCGCACCAGGGGACACATATGGACGCTCATTAGGTCGGTCATGTACCAGGACTTTCTGCACAAGGAGGGCTTCGGCAGCACGGCACTCACCGACGACTACTTTGGGGCGGTGAATGTGAGCAACCTCACCGAGATAACGCACGTCAACGAGCCGCCACAAAGGGTCTCCTTCGACCTGGGATATACCGGTGCGTCTGTGAGAAGAGGTTGTGGCTGGTCATTGGACCACAGGTGGACGATTTGTGTGTGTGTGTGTTGGGTGTGGCAGATGTACCTAGCAAGCTGTTGACGAGCAAGGCGGCCGAGTGGACGCACTTCCTGGCCACGTGCGACTTCAACACCGACATGGACGAGGACTTCATGCTCTTCGAATTTCGAAAAGGAGACCAATTCCCACTCGCCCTCAACAGTGACGCCCCATCATGCCAGCACCTCGAAGCGTCAGACACCCCAACCCAACTCAACCCACCAGACCCGCCCCCTGCCTCTCTATGCGGATCTCTCTCTCTCTCTCTCTCACTCAGATATACTCTATTGCACAAGCATTGTAAGGGCGAAAAGTGCCAGCTGCCGATTTCGCAGAAGACGGGTGAGACATCCTTCCACGTCAACCCGGTTCAGCCGTGCGAAGGGGACGATACGCTTAAGGGCGTCAGCTTGAAAGAGAAGGAGAAGTTCTTCGGCTCCTATGAGCGGCCGCCAGAGGGGGAGCGGTTCATGTGTGCCGCTTCGAAGGTGTCGATTACCAACTTCTGGCTGGGGGAAAAGTGTAAGCACCCAGACGTTCGACAAGCCAAGTGTTGTCATGTCCCTCTGTGTGTCTGTCCCTATGTGTGTGTCATGCGTGGTCAGTTCCGTCTCCTCACGAGAACTGCGGTCATTTCTTCTCGTGGGATTTGAAGCCGGGGTTCAAGTGTGTTGGGGAGATGATAAGGGAGCTGGACTGGGTGGGCATGTACGGCACCAACAGAACCAAAAAGGAAATGGTCTGCAGGGGCGCATTCCGCGCTCAACGCACTGTGTCTCGCATACTCGTTAGAGGTGAGAAATCGAGCCATCAGACACGTCAGTCAGGGGTCCCCTGTGTTGGTTGGGTTTGGTGGGTTGTATTCCCGATATATCAGGTCGACCCCGAAGACCAGACGAAGAGCTCCTGCACGCTGTGCAAGACCTCAGAGCCTGCGGATAAGGTGTTTGAGAAGAAGCAGGGCGTGTGGAGCGGGTACAAGGTGTTCGACTACGCCGACAACGGCTCACCCAGGCCGTGCACACACTCGGACGCATGCTTCGCCGACGCACAGAGGAGCGAAACAGGTGACTGAACGTGCACAGAGACACGGAGGGCATTCATGTGAGAGAGTGTGTGTGGGTGTGTGAAGGTGTTGGTACGACCTGCGATTGGGCTGAGACGCCAGGCAAGAAGGGCTCCCCTGCTGTGCCGGCGAAAAGAGTGGCCCAGTTCAGTGTGCACGATACGGCCAGAGAAGAACCTGACCAAGACGTTCTATGCAGGCAAGCCATTCTCCCTCCCTCCCCGCTTCCCCCCCGACACACACACACACACACACCCCACCCACCGACAATCTTCCTTACGTCTACATGCGTCTCTCTCTCTCTGACTCTCTGTGTGTGTGGCTGTGTGTGTGGCTGTGTGTTGGCGTCAGAGCGTACATGATGGAGGTGATGTTATCATGGAAGCACCACAACATCGGGTGCTATGAGGTGCACAAGGAGCGGGGCGACATCACCGTCTGCAACCTATACAACTCTACCGTCATGTGGACTGCCGGCGGCTCCTTTCGAGCAGGAAGAGTCACGTTCCCGCTCTGCCCACACATAGAGAGAAAGAGGCCGCCTGTGGCTATGCTGGCGGGCAATAGGACATCAGAGTCTGCTGTGGATAGTGGCAACATGACTCTAATAAGCCTTGTGGACAGATGACGCCCGCCTTTCTGCCTCTGTGCCTCTCTCTGTGTTTTTGGCGGTTTGGTCGATGTGTGTGGCGTCTTGCTGCCTTTGGGGCGGGCAGATAAGTGTGTGCATCGCACTGTGTCTGCATTTGCTGTGATCGCAATCGCGCCTTGAGCGGCACGGACCCCTGCATGTGAACTTTCACGTAACCCTGCCAGAGCGAAGTCCACACGAACATGACACGCATCCACTCTACTGTAGAAGAAAGTGCTACCACGAAATGGCGCCACTGCGCGGCGAACAACAGGCAGCATTCAGCGAACTACCGAGCTACGGCGAGGAAAAGACTGCTACTGAGTGAGAAACAAACATCACTTTCCACCAGCGCATAATCCTCTCCGCTTTGGAGGCTCGTCAGCCATTATATCTTTGATCAAGGCTGACGACAACAAGAGGCAAGACACAGCAGAGTCAGGTCATTCATTTACCTGTGTCTCACCTCTGTCCTTTCTGAACTCCGGCTCCCAGAAGTACTTGTAGAGCAGCCGGATCAGCCACGGCACATCCATGGTGAAGGTGTGGAAGCTCTCGGGGGTCATCCAGTCCTTGCACGCGTCGATAATGCGCGGCAGGCTGATGCGCGCGTCGTTGAGCCCCTGCTGACGCAGAAACCGCTCCAGCATCGCCTCGTACTCAGCCTGCAACGCGGTGAGATGTGGTGTGTGCATATGCACACACACAGATCCAGGACTCTTATCGTCTCATTCACGCCTGTGTATACCCGCCCCCACCTCAGTGTAGTTCGATCGGATGAGGGGCGTAATGAGCTCCTCTTCCTCAGCAAGGTGCTGCTCGAGAGCAGGGAACCACTTCTCAAGGCTCTCACACACGTCCTCGACGATCCGGGCCTTCCCCCGCCTGCTGGTGGTCGCCGAACGGTATGTTCTTTCGGCTGCGATGATGTCGTCCATGGTCGCCATTAGGGTGGCGTGGGAGCATGTGCACTGCTCGGGCAGCCTGCCGCACTTCCACTCTGCAAGAGGGGACACAGTGGCGTAACGATAAAGTGGGAAGGATGGTACAGGACCCAATCGCCTACCTAGTGCAGGAAAGAAGTAGATTTCCTCGTTGTCGTGGTGTCCATGGAGGAATGGATAGAAGTAGAGCCGCCACCACTTGAAGAACCTGCCAGACAGAGAGAAACACACCAGCCAGACAGAAGAGTCCCCACTGCAAAGAGCGTCAGGATCCCGGTTGTGAGCACCTCTCTATGCGCCAGTCGTGGCCCAGCTTCAGGTACGGCAGCAGCTCCTCGGCCCGCCTCATCTCCCGCCGTAGGGCCTCATGCGGCACCAGAAAAGACAGGTCGGCGAAGTCATTCACTGCAAAGGGACACGAGGCATCACAAGGGACCCTGTCTTGTGTGTCTTTCGATTCTTTTCACCCTCTTTGATGACTCTGCTGGTCAGCTTCTCTGGGATGGCTTTGCCGAGGGGCGGGGCGATTCTCCCCGTGGACCTTCTGCCTCCAAATGAAGAACGGGGCGAATGGAACATGACCTCGGCTGCTGGTGTCGTGTGCTCCTCCGCGCCTGACCCAGCCGCCACCGCCTGCCACGAATTTCGAGCTCGCAGATCGCGATCTACCGCTCTCTCCGCGATCTGATGCCGCAGCGCCATTCTGGTCGCCAGCGGTGCTTCTCAGAAGAAATCGGTGACTGCTGATCTTTGGTCACACTGAGGAGGCTTTCCCTGATGCCTGCGCTTCCCACTATGCTTCCCCTGTCCACGGCGGGCCCTTCATCTCCCTCGGCGCGCAGCAGCGTGAGCATCTCGAGCAGCGCATACACGCACACCTCCTCGGCGAGAGGCGGCTTCGCACGAGGCGGCAGCTCCAGCTTCATGATGCCCTACCTGTCCCAGAGCCCTCCCCACCGCTCAGAGTACTTCAGGCGGATCTTTTCGGTCGCCCAGATGGACCTCGAGTACACCTTCGCGCAGATGGTTTATCTCATCATCTCGCCTCGCAAGGCCTACCAGTTCGACTCGTATCGCAAGCAGACCAAGAATCAGTGGGCGAGGGACGACCCGGGGTTCGTTGTGGTGCTCGGCTTCTTTCTCGTCATGAGTGGCCTCGCTTATGCGGCCGCTTTCCGGCTGTCGGGGGTGCGCTTCCTCGTTGCCATGTTCCTGCCGCTGGTGTACTTTCTGGTGGTGGGTGTGGTGATGGCCAGCGCTTCCTGGTTCCTGGCGAACAAGTATCTGCGGCACTACTACTCGTTCCACGCGGCTGAGCAGACAGTCGAGTGGATGTATGCGTTCGACATCCACTGCAACGGCACGCTGCTGGCCTTCCTGATATCGCTGGTGCTGCAGTACCCCTTCCTGCCTCTGCTGCTGCCCAAGGGGTACCTGCCGGCCATTGTGTGCAACACGATCAACGGCGTGGCGGTGTTTTACTACTTCAAGCTGACGATGCAGGGATACAACCAGCTGCCGTTCATCGAGCAGGCGCAGTACCTGTTCGCCCCGGTGCCCGTCCTGTGGCTGCTGCTCGTGGTGCTGTCGTGTCTGGGCATCAACTCAACCAGATATCTCGTCTACTCGTTCGTCGGCCTGCTGGCGTGAAGAGGAGGGGCATCGATCGCGAGAGTGTGATAGTGTTGTGAGAAGATGGTGTGTTGGGGGGATGCCATATGTACGCTGGACGGCTTGCTTTTTCCTGTTATATATACACACTCATTCTGTCGCCGGACCCGCCAGATCAGATTGTGCAATGAATGAATTCGTCATGGCCGATTAGTCATCGGTCTTAAGACCACACAGGTCGGTCAAGCAAGGCACACATACTCACATTCGCGCATTCACGCACACTTGACGATGAAGTGAGTGAACTGCCAAGTGATATAAAATGTAAGCAGCGATGCTCTCTCGTGGGCCAGGACCGCCCATGCAATGAGCCGGTCAATAGAATGGATGGCCATCAGTACAAGACACCCACCAACCCATCTCTGTCTGTCTGTCTGCACGAGGGAGGAGGGTGCCAAGCTACCAGCCATCCAGCCATCCAGGCATCAATCCATCGCGTCCACCGCAACATCACAGCAACGGTATGAACACACGCTGCAGCCATCCATCCTTCGAGATGCTGACAGACAGACAGACAGACAGACATGTGACGGTCATCCATCGAGCAGCCGACTCATGCGATGGATGCCAAGCTGGCTACACAATGCGGCGAACCTGCCTGCCTGCAGCGTGCTGGCTACCACCCACCCTCCCACGAAGCCACCCGCCCCCATAGTGAGTAGTATGTATGTCTTCTATCTATCTATCGCTCGCCAGCCGACATGACTCGTTGGCCCCCGCCCCTCCCTCTCCCTCGCCCTCGTCTTGGGCGGAACGCGCCGGCAGGATCGGCCCGGCGATCGACGCGCGTGTGGGTGGGACGCACTGCGCCAGGGCGGCCACCACGTGGGGGTCTGGCTGCCCCACGTACGCCGACGCCCTCACTGGCCTCGGACCATCGGCCTTCTCGCGAATGAACAGCTCGATGGCAGCCGAGGGGTCCTGCGCGTGCCTGTCGGTCAGAGCCCCCAGGACGTTGCGCTGGCCGTTGCTGGATCGCTGTGTGGACCAGAAGTTGCCGAGTGGCCCTGTGAAGGGGGGGCTGCATATGTTGTCGATCTGCACGGGGGTGACGTCGTACGGATGCGCCAGAGGTTCTCGAGCTTGAGCCGGCCGCGGAAGAACGCCGGGAAGAGGCTCGCCAGCGGCACCGTCAGCTTCCTCAGGGCGGCATCCCACCTGCAGACAGACAGACAGACAGATGATGGATGGATGGATGGATGGTCCCCCCCTCCCCCTCTCTCTGCGCGCCCCGCTGTCTCTCTGTCTCACCATAGCTGAGTAGCCGACATACGGAAACGCATGAAAATCCAGAATGCCCCGTCCTCATTGATGGCCGGCTGGGGCACGCTGTTGATGGCATACAGGTAGTACGGCCTGTTCGCTTTCACCGCACAGAGATAAGGAGAGAGAGACACACATATGCGTGTCGTTGGGATGCAGATTTGCGCTAGGTAGGAGGTGTAGTGCATTTGCATGTTGTGTGTGGGGGCGTGTCTCGACCGACATACCACTCGTTGAGGATGACGAGCTTCTCTGGAAAGCTAACGCCGATGGGGGTCGACTGCAAACACACATATCGGGATTTCGATACGCAAAGGACTCATCCATTCGCAGCCACTTTATCGGTCTTGTTCCTTCGACGACTCTCGTGCTGCTTCGTCCCGTTGCTGTCGTAGAATCGAGATCAAGAACACCTGCACACTCAGCCACGAAAGCGGACACCGCACGCACGATGGTCCGTTCACGCCATCAGAGGACCGACACTGCAAAAGGTACGCCTCTCTTTTGTACCTGTCTCAACTTCCTTGGGCAGCAGCTGCTTGGACAGGTACGTACGACAGGCGCTTTGTCCACTTCCCTGGCGAGACACACACATAGACATGTCGCATGCGTCTCCCTTTCGTGACAAATTCCTGTCAGTCTTTAGCGCTGTTGTGGGGAGCCCGATCAATGCTTCCTCCGGCGATTGTCCCTTCTGAAACCAACACAAACACAGGTCAGCACCCTCACTGTCACGCCCACCTGCAGACACACGAGCAGACTCCTGCACACAGACATCCACACACTTTGCACTGCACTCATGCGCGTCTCCCTCCCTCCCTCCCCTTTCATCGTTGTCTTCGGAAGCCGGCCCTCCTTTGACTGCAGCATTAGAGCACCATCCCTACCACGAAGAAATCTCATCTTGCACGAGAGCATATATGGCTCTCTGTTATGTTTTCCTCGCCTCCATCTGATTGATTGACAGCGGACAGGAAGCTGGGCAAAGACCACCGACCAGCAGCAAATGAGGAATCCATGGAATCACTGTCATGTCTCACTCTCACCTCGCCGGCGGGTGGGCCAACGATGGACATTGATGAGTAAGGAAGGGTCTTCAGATATGAAATGTAGGCGGCGATCTGACACACATACAAAAATAGGTGGAGACATGCTTACGTGAGGTTGTTGGCAAACCCTATCGCGGCAGGTGGCCCCGTACTTCCTGAAGTCGCGTAGTCGTTGCCACACCTCCTGGCGATTGCCGGTCCTGGTAAAGGTCGAAGGGGTCGGCCTCCTCCCACACGTATCCGACTCATCAGTCCCTTACCTGTCGCGGCCTTGACGAGTGCGCACTCGGCCTGGTCCCTCTCGAGCCCAATGCTCATGAGAATCCCCACCTCCTCGTCGGCCAGCTGTGCGCTGTCACCACTGCCGTCACCTGCAGCAGCCCCCCACCCACTGCGGTCTGCGGCTAGCGGCGTGAGGACGGGAGGGTCGTTGATGTCCGGGTCGTCCATGTGTGCGATTAGCCACTCGAGGGCCGCATCGGGAGTGGCGTTGGGGACCGCCAAGACGGCACGACTGACGCACAGCACACATCAGTCAGTGACACATAGAGGTGTGTGAGGAGGGTCTCGGCTCTCTTTGGTTGTGTTTTGTTTGTGGTCACTCACTTGGCGGCGTTTTCCGAGTAGCCCATAGAGACCAGCTGCGCCACCACCATCTCATCAGGCACCTTAGCCGGGGAACCACCATCGCCTTTGCCCCCGCCACCGCGTTTGGCAGCAGCGGCCCCCTTGACGTTGGTGCGGTAGAGGTCGGATTGGTCGTCGCTGTGGCGGGACAGCAGCAGGTCCACAGCCGCCTCGACAGCCATGCCATTGGGAACACGCAGCGCCGCTTCCCTGTGGGAGCCATCAGCCACACACAGACATGCAGGTGTGAGCGATTAATCGATTGCATCACGCCCCTCGCTGTCTGTCTGTCTGTCTGTCGACGCGTGGGAAAGAGTCTCGTGAGATATAAAATGTAGGCGGCGATCTGACACACATACAGCGACGGAGATTGTGTCTCTGTATCTGTGAGGCGAAAGTGTTGCTCGCCTCCTTCTCCACCTTGAGCGCATCCCTCTCCTGCTTGACCGCCGCCAGCTCCTCCTTGAGCGTCGCGAGCTCCGCCTCCAACTCGTCGCGGGTCTTTGTCTGTCTCTGATGACAACACACGCACACACACACACCATGAATGAGCAGACCTCAGAGATGCAGCGGCACATGTGCAGCTGTGAAGTGCTGTGCAGTTCGGTTACCGGGGGCTGCCCTGGTGGCCGCTCGATGGAGGCTTGGATGAGCATGGCGTGGCAGCGGTCGCGGGCCTGGTTGGAGAGGGCGTTGAAGCGCAGCTCGAACTCCTGCATATATTCACGATGATGGACACAGTGAGTGAGTGCAAGGATGGACATATGTTCGGTCTCTCCTCGGAAGAGTGTTTGTTTCCATCTTAAAGCACGTACGTAACTCACGTCAATGAAGTGCACCTTCATCTCCCAGAGCTTCCACATGAAGACGACGGGGTCGTCGTCGAAGTTTGGCCAGTCGATGTCCTTGGGGTCCTCTGGAATGGTGGTCTCGTACCAGTCCTCGACGACCTCAGGATCCAGCACGTACCTGACCTCCGACATCCTCTCGCACTGCCTATGGAGTGGGGGCGAGGGAGCTGGTGGTGGTGGTCAAGGTGGTGGTGGCGGGGAGTGAGGGTGAGGAAGAGGTGGACGAGAGCGGGCTAAGGGAGCTGCCACTGCGGGCTAAGAGGAGGACGATGAAGGGGATCAGGACCAAGGGTTTGGGTTCGTTTTCCGCACAAATGTCGGCCATCCACCCCTGCAGCCGGGATGCGCTGACATGGGCAGGTCGCACGGTCTTCCTGATGGCGTTGGGGAATGGCAGGCCTTGATAGGGGAAGAGGAAGAAGAACAATGGCTTTCCTCCAATGGGAAAAAAAGAGAAAACATGCGTCTCCATTTTTTCTCTTTGCCGTCTCGATTCTCGCCAGTACCGATTCTCGCCCAAAGAGTGACGCCGTTGTCGGAATCGTGTGCCACCAGCCAGCCGACCACATGGTAAGACGAAAACAAAACAAGATCACGCCGCCACAATGTCATTCCGCCATGCCTTCAACGCAATGGATGGTGAGGACCGTCAGATGGAGGAAGGAAAGGATCTTTGTGCCTTTCAAATGCATGTCGACAGGCGGACGTCTACACGCACAGACGGATGGGGAGACACTCGGGAGGGAGGGATGGGTGATGGGATGCTTACCTGCGACAACGCGTCACATATATGATTCAATCGAGCTGTATGCCGTGCACACATGCAGCCCCACACACACGTCACGCTGTCTGAACAGTGTGCACCCATCTATGGTGCGGACATACATACAGCCAAGACGAAAAACCACACCGATGAACAAGCGAACCAACCGACAGACAGCGCACACGCAGAGAAGTCAGAGTGTGCTATGCATGGGCTTCGATCTCCTGCTTCCTTGCCTTCCGCCTCTCCTTCTTGCGCTGAAACTTGGCCTTGAGGGCCTCGATCTTCGACTCGGACAGCTGCTTCCCCTTCGGCCGCTTCTTTGCACGACGCCTGCATCCAACACGCACATACACACACACAGATGCATCCTTTGCGCCGCTCGATGTTTCCACACGCACGCACGCACCTTTTCGATTTGTCAGAGGCTTCGGTTGTTCCCTCTTGAGTGGCATTCTCCACAGTGCTGTTGCGAGCCCTCTTCTTGCCGCCCTTGTGTGTGGGGCCCTCATCATCGCCGTCAGCTTGGGGCTGCTCGTCGGTCTCGGTCTCGCCCCGCTTTCTCTTCTGCCTCCTGGTCTCCCTGTCGGTGGCCTCTTGTGCGATGCGCCTCTTGGTCTCCTCCATGGCACTGACGCGCTTCTGGTGAAACTGCACCAACACACCCACACCAGACACACAGATACCGGGACGATATGTGGGCCTGTAGGTGTGTGCATGGACGTCGTATGCATTCATACAGGGCTGGCTGGCCGGCTGGGTGACCGACCTTTGATTCGATGTGTCGCTCGAGGTCGATGTCGTTGAGCAGCACCTTCTCGGGACACAGCTTGCAGTAGAACTTGCCGCGGAAGTCCCGATCCATCTCATCATCGGCATCCTCATCCTCGCCCTCCTCACCCTCACCATCGTCTTCGTCTGCACCTGCATCATCCGGCTGTTGAGGCGGCGTCACTCGCCTGTCCCTTCCTTTGACGGCAGCCTCCCGATCTGAAAGCACAAAGGAAGGCCACCATTTCCTCGCCCTCTTCTGTGTCTGTGGGCTCCTTTCACCTTCACGTAGCGTCCCATCGTCGCCCTCATCCTCTGCCTCAGCCTCTTCCTCTTCCTCGTCGCCCAAATGCTCTCTATCGTCATCTGAATCGTCTTCCGACTCATCGCCCTCGTCCGGCTCCTCGTCACTGTCATCTGGATCAGGGTTGGACGCGTCCAGGAAGGCCAGGGCACGCTTGAACATCGGCACGGTCGATGAAGGATGGAACGGATCTGGCTGATCTTGATGGAAAACTGATGATCGAATAGTCTACAAACGCCTTCTGTCCTCTCACACTCACTCGCAGCGATGGGGCAAAATGAGATCTGCACAGCTCGCAGCTAAGCTCGCAGGTGAGGTCAGCAACTTTTTCAGTTGCCTCGGCCACAAACAAGTGATTATAGAGGTGCAGGCTTCGAGAATGAACGCCTTGTTCAGTCGGCTGAGTCTTCGTGATGACGGCGGCGAGGTGAGGATTTCGTCCCAATCGGGGCAGTCGGCCTCGTTCAAATGGAGCCCAGGGGCCTCCTACGCCGACTTCCAGAAGGAGTTCACCGAGGCCTGCTGCGAACTCTTCGGCACCAAAGACAGGGAGGCATTCAGCATCCAGGTCAGCCATCAAGACACGTAGACTGTGAGCAGACATGCCATGGGATGCGTTGTGTGGTTCAGGCCGGTGCTGACAACCCGACTCTTGTTGCCCTGAGGGACGTCTTCAAGGGCAAAGTGACGGCCGTCACACTCGTGGTAAGACATCACAACCGGGGAGGGCATGGCCATCCCATCACGTGCTGCTTGTTCTCTGTCTTGTGTTGATTCGTCAGCCGTCGGGCGGGAAGCTGGAAGACGCGACGGCTGCCACCCGCCCCACCTCTGCACCCTCCCTTGCACCCGCCCCACCTCTGCCACCTCTCCACCCGGACAAGCCATCCGGCCTACTCGCCGCCCCACCAGGTGCGATGAAGGCAGGCAGATTAAACATCGGCTGGCTGATGTTTGGTGCCGTTTTTGTGTGCAGGACCAGGTCGGATCAAGGGTCAGTCGGGTGCCAATGCGGCGGGGGGGAGCCAGATCAAGTTCATTCAGCTGATGAACGCCAACAAGAACCCCAATCCCAGTGTGGACAAGAGCAAGCTGACCAAGGAGGAGGTCGCCAAACACAAAAAGGGCGAGGACGCTTGGACGATTCTCAACGGCAAGGTCTACCACATCTCGCCCTACCTCGACTTCCATCCTGGAGGTCAGTCCAGTCACCATACACACGCACACACACACCGACATGGGAACCTGGAGATTCATTGGCATGTGTGTGTGTGTGTGTGTGTGTTCGTGTGGTCTGGTCAGGCCGTGCGATACTGATGTCGGTAGCTGGGAAGGACTGCACAAGTCAGTTCAACAAATACCACCCGTGGGTCAACGCTGATGCGCTGCTGGGTGAGTGACGTGACCAGCACACCGCACCACACACACAGCCCAGCCTGCCGACTTTGCAGGGAAGCTGTTTCTCGGTCCCGTGAAGAGTTCGCTGCCAAAGCTGTCAGAGGAGGCAGACGAAGAGTGATGATGATGATGTTGATGTCGGGCTGTGTATGTTTGTTGTGTGGCTGCATGTTGTTGCTGCATGGCAGGGGGTCCATCCAACCAAGTTGGCTGTGTGTGTAGAGCCGCATTTATTGCTCATGCGGCGAGGGCCTTTTCTGTGTCGATATGTGAGTCTCTCTCTCTCTCTCTCTCTCTCTCGGCTCTCTCTGACGTGACCACTGTAGCGATACACATACGTTTGTGTGAGCGGAGTGAAGCTCTCTGGCCAGGTGCATGATTGTACAGACATTGTCTGGGCGTAGTTGCTGCTTGCGGCATTTTTTCAGTTTCTTTTGCTCTCTTGACCTTTTGAGATGCCAAGTGAAAGGTCTGCACACATAATCCTGCCACTCTGCCAATTGAAAATAGGGTTTGGCGAGCTTTAACAGCCTCAAAGGTGTTTGAAGGCCGAAGGCGCGTGAGTTGTGTGAGGAGCACCTGCAGGGTGGCTTGTGACGTGTGGATCTGTGATCTGTGTGTGGTGATGGTGTCTGAGACGGAGTTAGCGGCCGTGCGGTCGGCAATGCTCACCGTCCGCGTGCCCAATGCAAGCGACAAGGTCTTCAAAACCGAATGCCTCTTCAGGTCGGTGGCACGGCACCGACACACTGACTGACCGAAGAGGGAGGGAGAGATCTCTCACGCAACACACAGATCTACAAGTGTGTCGTGCTGTCTGTCTGCCTGCCTGTGTGGGTGTGGGTGTGGATGTGTTCAGTTTCGACACCGTCGAGTCGCCCGACGGCCTGTACATCAACATGAGGACGTTCGAGTGCTTCGGCAGGGACTTCGTGCAGCTGGACAGCGAACGCACCGGCAACAAGCTCTACTACCACATCAAAGACGTCAAGATCCCCAAGCCGCAAACCGAGGACACCGAGACCGGAGAGGCCAAGAAGGAGCCCACCAAGCTGGCGATTGGCGTCGAGGGCGGGTAAGTGCCATGGGCATCGTGGTGGACGGTGGGGACAGACAGAACAGACGAGGGTGGGAGGGAGCTGGTTGCGGTGATGATCTCTATTCCAAGAGGTTGCTACTGAAGTGGCCGTGTTGATACCTACACTGAACAATCCGAATCTGAGCAACCGATACAGTCAGTCAGTCAGTCAGTCAGACAGGCGAGAAGAGTTTTGTGGGCGTCAGCGTCGTGTGATGACACGCGATTTTACCCACGCTTTTGATGCTTCCGAAGCGTCAAGGGCACGTGATACAGACAAACCGCTACCCTAGCCAAGCTGACCACTGCTGACGCCCACACATACACACATACACACACACACACACAGAGACAGAGAGAGAGAGAGAGAGAGCGAGAGAGAGTGCACAGTACACAGATGGCGCACGGATGGCTGCGTGTGGCTCTCTCTGTATGTGTGTGTCGTGTCAGATTCATGGGGGGCGAGGCAGCGTTCGAGACAATATCGAGCACGTCGGTGGTGGTGCTGCCTGAGGGGTATGAGATCCCTCTCCCCTGCCAAGAGCTGCCCGAGATCGTCATCCAGGTACACACACACACACACGGAAAGACGAAGAATGAATGCATGTGTGTGTGTCTGTGTGTCTGTGTATGTACTGTTCAGTGCATCACTGGGATCACGGCTCACTCTGGCGGTGCGATTGAGGACCATCTCGCTGCATATGAGGAGGAACCGCCGAAGGTACCACAACACAACACAACACATTACACGCACAGTAGACGGACAGACAGACAGAACAGAATGGCCATCCCTCTCTGGTGTGCATGGTGGCGGTGTCTTGTGTTTGCTGTTTGCTGTCCTGTGGTGCAGCCGAGCAAGTACGCCGAGAATCTTATCCAGGTGGCCAACCCGCCTCAGATCCCTCCGGGGAACTGGAGGTGCGCCGAATGCGGCACCGGACAGAACCTCTGGCTCAACCTGTCCGACGGGTGAGAGGCGACGGGAGCACCATCCCTGTATGTGTGCTGTGTGACAAATGGACGTCTGTGTGTCTTTGCTGCCTGTCGTGTGTAGGTTCATCGGGTGTGGTCGGAAGCTGTATTCGGTGTGGGATGGCTGTGTCGGCGGGCAGGAGGGCGCGGCCATCAGGCACTACCAGGTCGGTGGGCGAGTTAATTGTTCGTCCCGGCCACACACATGATTGTGCGAGTCTTTGGGCCATATTAGGACACTGGTTGCCAGTACCCCCTGGCTGTGAAGCTGGGCACCATCACCGCCCACACGGCAGACGTATACAGCTACGCCGCGGTGAGTTCTAACCTCGAGGACCCACACACACGACACTGACCGACTGACTGGCGACACTCGGAGCGATCGACGTCCGCACTGGGGCTTATGTGGGTGTGTCCATGTGCGTGTGATTTAGGATGAGGACACCTCTGTGGAGGACCCGTACATAGCCAAACACCTCGCACACTTCGGCATCAACATTCAAAGCGTAACTGTGCCACATAGGATACGCGACATGGCGGCATGCGTCGCGTGTGCACATGGATGTGTGTGTGTGTGTGTTTAGCTTGAGAAGACTGAGAAGACGATGACGGAGATGTCGATTGAGCACAACATCAAGTACCAGTGGGACCGCATCACCGAGGCCAACAAGAAACTCATCCGCATGGACGGACCAGGGTCAGTGAGGGAGACCACACACACAACACACACATGTCACCAGTCGTTCGTGTGTGTACCGACCGGTGCCATTCTTGTGTGTGTTTGTGTCAGCTACATCGGTCTGAAGAACCTCGGCAATAGCTGCTACATGAACTCTATCGTGCAGGTCACCCAAACCAGCCAATGCTCTTGACATCTCCCACTCTCCATGGGTGTGTGTCTCGGTGCAGGTGCTGTGCAGCCTCCCCGAGGCTCAGAAGAAGTTCTTCCAACACGCCGACGAGATCTTCAAGACGCTCCCACGGGTACGCGCGCATCCACATGACACCAAGATCAGATCACCCCCCCACACCCACACCGACACCGACTTGTCTCTCTCTGGCCACACACATGAATCAATAATCAGGACACGAGCGCATCCTCCGACTTCCTGACGCAGCTGTGCAAGCTGTGTGTGGGGCTGCTGAGCGACCGCTACCCCCAGCAGCACCAGGCCGTCATGGCCAAGCGCAAGGAGCTGGCTGCCGAGGGGGTCGATAACGCTTCGCTGTCGGAGGAGGGCACGTCGGTGTCGCCTGGCATGTTCAAGAGCGTCGTGGGCAAGGGGCATTACGAGTTCTCCTCCGGACGGTGAGCGCGAGTGAGAGAGAGAGAGAGAGAGACAGAGGGAGGGGCGGCCTCTATGTGTGTCTGTGTGGTGCATGTGTGGATGCAGTCAGCAGGATGCGTGTGAGTACTACCAGCACCTGATCAACTCGATGATGGCCGTGGCCGAGCGGCTGCTGCCCTCACGATCGCCCGGCGCCGCTGCAGCTGCCGGCATCGACTTCACGCGGCTCTTCAAGTACTATGTAGGTAATGCGATTCGGTAGAGACAGGAGAAGACAGGAATGCCTGTGTGTGGTGCGTGGGCAGGAGGAACATCGCTACGAGTGCCCCCAGACCAATCGCGTAAGCAGCGCTATGTGGAAGGATGGATGGCCTGATGTATGTGTGTTGTGTATGTGCCCCCCACCAGGTCAAGTACAAGTTCAACGAGGAGGCCTTCCTGCTGCTGCCCGTCCCGGTCGAGTGCGCAACCAACAAGGAACAGGTACACACACGCGCACACAGACAGACAGACCGATACACACGCACACACACGGAGAGAGAGAGAGAGAGAGAGAGACTAGGCAGCCACACACAACACAACACCTGTTTCATCCGTGTGTCTTGTGTGTTTTTGCCTGCCTGGTCAGGTGCAGGAGTACGAGGAGCGCAAGGCCAAGCGACAAAAGACCGACGAGAAGGCCAAAGAGGTCTGCCAGCCACCACCCACACAGCCCGGGACAACCAACACACACACACCATGGGCACGTGTGTGTCCTGCGTGTCTGTGTGTATGTGTATGTGTGTGTTAGAAGGAGGAGGAGCCCATCCAGCCTCGTGTGCCCTTCAAGGCGTGCATCGACCAGTACTGCGGCCTGGGGGAGGTCGAGCTCAGATCGGAGGGACGAAATATCATCTGCCACTCACGAGTGAGTCGAACAATGGGATGAGAGAAGTGCACCCCTGTCTGTGTTGTCTGTGTATGCCACACAGGCGCGCCCCATGACGTTCCCGCCCTACCTGTGGGTGGTGCTGAAGCGCTTCTACCAAAAGCCTGACTGGACCACCGCCAAACTGGAGGCACTCGTGGAGGTCGGTAACTAACAGGCCCACACGCACTCAACAAACCGATACACACCCGACCTCTCTTCTCTTTTCTGTCCATCAGATGCCGTCTGAGATCGACCTGGAGATGTTGCGCGGCAAGGGGCCGCAGCCCGACGAGACGGAGCTGCCGTCTGAGCCTGATGCGGCCACGGCTGGTGCTGGGGGTGGTGCTGCCCCCGCTGCTGCTGCTGATGCGGCTCCTGATGAGATGGTGGTGGCGCAGCTGATGTCCATGGGCTACTCGAAAAACGCCGCTAAGTGAGAGGAAGAGACTCCTCGCCCTCTCAACTCTCTGCTTGTGTAATATGATGTCCATGTCTGTCCATGTCTGTCCATGTCAGGCGTGCCTCTCTGGCTGCCCCCAACGCCACAGCGGACGCGGCTCTCGAGTGGCTGTTCGGCCACATGGACGACCCCGACCTCAACGACCCTCCCGTCACCCCACAGCCAGCAGCCGCCGGCGGCGGTGGTGGTGGTGGTGGTGCCGCCCAGCTGGACGACGAGAAGGTGGCGAACCTCATGAGCATGGGGTTCGAGAAAGACCAGGCCGAGTGCGCACTCCTCAAGACCAACATGGGTGAGCTGGCAGACATGGGAGGACAAGACACCTTGGTGCATATGTGTCTGTGTGTGGTTGTGTTGGTGCAGATGTGGAGCGTGCGGTCGACTGGCTGTTCTCCCACACGGACACCTTGGCTGCTGAGGTGGCGGCCATGAAGGCCGAGAGGGAGGGCGGCGGCAACGAGGCATCCAACGGTGGCGGTGATGTACAGATGGGGGGCGTCAGCAAGAAAGACCAATACCTCGATGGCGACGGTCAGCAAATCATCGGCCGTAGCGTAAATGCCCTGTGTGTGTATTATGGTGGTGTGTGTGTGTAAGTCAGGCAAGTATTCGCTGGTGGGGTTTGTGACTCAGATGGGCAGCAACCTCGCCTGTGGCCACTATGTGGCACACATCAACAAGGACGGCAAGTAAGGACCACTGACAAGAGAAGAGAAACACACTCTGCTCTCTCCCACTCTGAGTGAGTGGCGCCTCTCCTCCATCTCTATGTGTGTGTGGTGTTTCCTTTTCGTGTTCGTGTGTGTGACTGAACAGGTGGGTTGTGTATAACGATCGCAAGGTGGCCATCTCCGAGGAGCCGCCCTTCGAGTACGGTTACATGTACCTCTACAGGAGGAAGGACTACACGCCCAACTAGCTCACTCACTGACCGCCACTCGCCACTCCCTCACTCCCTCTCTCTCTCTCTCCCTCTCTCGAGGCTGTTGGTGTGTGAGTGTGACGCATTCCATTGCACTGCATGAGATGGGGCATACAGACGGGACTCTGCGATTTAAGAAATCCTCCTTTCTCCAGGGTTGGTTGGTTGGTTATTGTGTTTAACGAGACTCGTGTCTGTAACCCCGAGGGGATCCTGTCCAGGTCACGCACTAAACTAGCAGCATGCACATGCACAGAAGCATGCACACGGCCTGTCTCCCCATCCCACCCACCCACCCACCCACTCGACACGCACGTGCCACCCTATGATGGCCAGAAGAATCGCTGTCGACACCGGTTGCAGATATACGAGAATGACAGCCAGAGATAGGCACGACACCCAGAGGCTAGTCAGAGAGCTCGACGTCGAGCGCCCACTGGTGTGAATTGCACTCGCCAAGCTGTTAGGGCTTCTCGTGAAACTCCTCCTCGCCACTTTGCCGGATCTACCGGATCACCCCCAGATCTGCCCACATCTCTCACTCCCGTCGACAATGCTGTTCAAGACCCTTGCCCTCGCCCTCCTCGCTGTCGGCCTGGTCCAGGGGGAGACCATCTACGATCATGTCGAAGAGCACGCGGACGAAGACCTAGCGACTCTCCTCGCAGCCCTCGAGGCCACCAAGGGAATCCCCAACACCGACGAGAGCCTCCAAGCAATTCTTGATAATCCAGACGCGGGCAAATACACCCTCTTTGCGCCTATTGACACTGTGAGACATGAAGCAGAAAGCCGCGTGGAATGTGTACGTGCCGTGATGTCTGGTCTGGGTGTCCTTGGTGCCTGCAGGCCTTTGCTGATGTGCCAGTTGACGATCTGCTGTGTAATGACGCAAACAAGGCTATCCTCGCGGACATCCTCAATTACCACGTCGTGCCGCCCTTGGACGGGGATCTGCACCCCCTGACCAATCCTGTCCCCACTGAACTGGCAGGCGAGACTCTTGAGGTGGTGAAGGGCGCCGATGGAGTGCCGATGACGGTGAACGGGGCTGACGTGGACCCAGACCCGGAGCACAGCCCTCAGGACCTCGAAAACGGCGCCATCTGGGTATGCAGACTGAGATGCACATACGATGGATACATGAGATGTTAGGTGGCTGTGTCGTGTCTGGTATGCAGGAAATCAACAAGGTGCTGCTCCCGCCGACGTTCAGCCTGGACGCCCTCACGGCCTGCGGCTGACTGCGGGCCAGAGCGGCTGCCCTGCTTTTTGTTGCTTGGGTCTGTTCTGGGTGTGTGGCGTGCCGTTCGTCTGGTCGTCTTCATCAGTGTGTCCTTTTGGTTGCGGGGTCTGTGTACACGCACTCGGGCATGAGTGGGGAGAGTTTCGTTGACGTGCATGTTCACATCACAGCCGGTATGTCGGGCTCAGGGAGATGAGAGGTGACGTTCATTTCACGTTGTATCTTTTTATCCGCGTCACGAAGGGGACCGTGTGTGGGGTGGGGTCCGCATGGGTCCTTCTCGCCGATGTTGGTTTACGCGTGCGTGGTGAGTGATGGCGTTCGTTGTCGCTTTTTTCATCCCGTGTAGGGCAGACATGCCCGCCCTTTCTTCCGCTGCTGTTTTTGAGCCGCTGCCTCACACACGCACACACGCACACACGCACACACGCACACACACACACAGAGCACAGAGGCAGGTCGGCTTTGCTGCGGTGACACACGCATGCTGGATCCACCTGTATCAAGTATCTGTGTGATCGATCGGAAAGGGAACGGCACGGCACTCCACGATATCGCGTGACTGCTCTTTCCTTCCCACTCACACACCCAAGATCTTCACGCTGGCTGGGTTCGTGATGCATCCCGTTTCTGTGCACCCGAAGCCTTGTGACGCACCAGTTTTCGCCAGCCGCCAACGGCTGCCTCAGTCAGGTGACATGTGGGATTCTGTGAGGCGTCTTTCTTTTCGCTGACTGCCATGGGGACGACGAGGGCGAAGGTACGTTGTTCATGCCTTCACAGGCGGCCCTGATGGACGTGAGAGTGTCGCGTGTGTGTGTGTGGGTCGTCCGCACTTTTGTAGTGCTGTTTCGTTTCGTGCTTATGAGCTGCGAGGGGGCGATCGCACTTCGTTCGTGCTGCATGCCAGTGAGCTGCGAGGGGGCGCTCGCACATCGAGTCACTGACGTGTGCGCGTGTGTGAGGGGGCGCTCACACATCAACTCTGACGTGTGGCTGTGTCTGTGTCTGTGTCTGGAGTGTTGGGGTGTTGGCCGCGACGCCGCTGCACCCCAACGCTCGGGAGTGGAGGGGTGTCGGCGACGGCTTTCCGCAACATAAAAAGCGAGACACAGATACATTCATACTGCGTGTTAGTGGCGGGGCAGGGAGGCAGCACAGGGTGGGTACGTACACGTTGCGTTTTAATTCGCTTTCTTTGCAATCGGACCTTTTCATCGTGAGACGGAGGCATGACGATGAATGAGATAAGACACAGCGATACACCTGGCAGAACTTTGACGCACAAATCCACACCCCACACCAACACAGTGGCACGGACATGAGCACGACAAATCGACAGCCAGTCAGTCTCCCATACTCACAGTGTGTGTACTAGACACAAAAGCAAAACTGTGTCACGAGGGTCTCTACATTCGGTATTCTACACGGCAAATCAACAACACCCACCATCGGGCGTGGGTGTCGCGTCGTCTACGCGAATTCACTCATTCGTTGTCACATCTGCACTTCAGCCACTGACTGCATCTCACCCTCCCGCAGAGGTCTTCACAGCTTCGCCAGTGGCGCCAGCAGCCACAGGCGCACTCTTGGCTGCAAAGGAAGGGGTGGGGTCGGCCACGAGCGCCTCTAACTCGCGAACTACTCCCTCCCAATCTGTACCTGCACAGCCACAACGAACGATGAGAGAAGTGGTGGGAGTGGCGTGGATGTGTGTGGAGCGCGTGTGTCTGCTCTTACATCTGACTGTGTTGGGGTGCGAGAGGTCTGCCTTCTGGTTCCAGCCATAGGATTTATCCAGATCAAACAAGATAGCCTGCACACACAGAGACAGAGGGAGAATGGGTGCAAGCCAGGGCGACACAGTCGTGTATCCCGTACGCACATGCGAACCTTTTGCAGGCAGTGCCTGGCATCCTCAATGTATGACGGCGCGTCGTCGACCAGCGCGATGGCATTCACCTCCTCACACATCTCGCGCTTCGTCCTGCAGGTAGGCACGCCACACAACACACACACCAACACAATGTAGCCCACAACTGGCAGCACACCCACAACGCCTTTGTGCGCACCTTTTCTCTTCGTGTCCGTTGATAGAGAAGTGATTGCCGAATAGCACATCCTCAAATACGCCGGGGAAGTGGCGGTCAAGCCAGCGCCTGACCACAAAACGGATGATGCTCAGGTGGAAAGCCGGGTGCTCACGGTCCGCTGTGTCTGTGCGTGTGTGTGTGTGTGTGTGTGGCCATCTATCTCACATAGATTCCTCTTGTATGGACGTTTGCCTTGACGTGACGACGACTAAGCGGAATCGATCTCGCAGCCTGTGGATGCCTTCCACGGCACCTGCAGAAAGGGAATGACGCCACGCCACAGGGGAAACAAACAACAATCATATACGAGTGAGTGGACGATGTGACTTGCTGACTTGCTGACCCACCGGGGACAATCTCGAGGTTTCGGAAGTAGTCTGTCTCGAAGAAATCTGCACCCAGCACAGCGCACCACACGCAGTGCCACACCGCCTGCACCCCTAGTGTCTTTCCCACCCACCGCGCACCATGGACTTTCTTCAGCGTGTCAGCGTATGAGCCGCCCCAGACTTCATAGAATAGGTAAGAGTGGAAGTCGGCCACCTGGTAGCTGGTGTGGTAGTGCTTGTTGTGGAAGGCTATCATGCCCTTCAGGAACTGACACAACACCTGCACGGCAGACAGACAGACAGGCACAACCACGTTGAGTGAATGGAAACACCAGAGGAAGATGGTGTGTTGTGTGTGCTGTGTGTCTGTGCGTCGGCCACTCGTGACACCTCGTCCATGTCAATGGCGACGATAGGCTTGTGCAGGCCGTTCATCGCCATGCGGATCATCAACCAAATGACGTCAACAAGCAATCTTCTCCTAACGAGATTCACTCTTCAAGAACTCTCCTGCCGCCTGGCCTGCTGTCTGGACTGCGAGCTTGGCTGAGAATGTGCGATCCGGGGAAACCAATTAGGGTTTAGGGTTTACTCCTTGGGCCATCTTCCCGCAGAGCTGTGATGCGTACGTGCATGTGCAGATCTTGAAGTGATGCATTTTGCTGTGCCAACCGGAAGCCTTCACTTCGTGACCTCATCCGCGCCCTTGAGCCACCTGCTGACCAAGCTCGGCCCTCTCTCCCATGCCCTCGCCTCCCAGCCCTCACCAGGACACCAGCCAGCATCCCCTGCTGCTGCTCCGGCCACTTGTTTCTCCTCATTTCGGCTGTTGACTCATCATTACAGCCATGTGCAGTCGGCTCTCTGTGACCGCTTTGGCGCGTCGCGGTCATTACATAGCCCGGTGTTATGGCCGCTGGGTGGAGGGAAGGGCTTGGTTGATGCGTGGCGGGCCGCCCTCTGTCGATATGGTGATGCCGGTGCGTCAGCAGCTGCGTGTACAGCCCTTCAGCAGCAGCAGCGGACGGCCGCCCTGCTGTTGCTTTCCCCCTCCTTCTCGCCTCAGCTGATGCGGCCTGCCTTCCCGCTGCTGCTGTGGAGTCGTCCGCTATTTTTCCCCTTGTCGATGCTCTCTCTGCACATGAGTGCCTTCCCCCCTACCGTTGTCCAATGCCAAGACGACTCGGCGGCTCCACCCACTGAGAGCCAGCACCAGCGTCACCATGCCGACACACACACACAACCGGCCAGCAGCGAGCAGGAGTCTGCACACGCCCACACCCCCTCCCCCTCCCCCTCTCCATCTCTCTCTCCCCTTTCGCCCATTCTTTGGCGGCGGCTGTCGTCGAGCAAGTGGTTCGGCAGACACGCACCCCCCTGTGTGTGTGAGGAGATGAAAGTGCGGGACGATGAGAGCGACCGTTCGACGGTGGTGTCTGAGGGCATGAGTGAGGTGATTGAGGACGCCGTGCTGGTGCCCGACCGGATGGCGGGCGACTGGGAGGATGAGGTGCCCGCGGGAGCCACCGTCGTGTACAGGAAGGAGAAAGACGAGGGACCCCTGGGGCAGGCCCTCGGGTAAGGAGAGGAGCTTCTGCTCGCTGGTCCGCTCCCTGTGCCCATTCTCTCCCCCCCTTCTCTCTGTGTCTGTGTGTGGTTCGACCAGGTTCGTTGCGTGGGTGTTGTTTCTCGCCTCGTACATCGTGGGTGCGACCATCCTGCCCCTGGCGGCCTTCACGGCCATAGCGCACCATGCGTGGGGGGCGGCGACGGCACTGACGGCGCTGCTGTTGTTCCCTTTCCTGCCCGTGTCGACGTGGATCGCCAGCCTGCCCTTCACTGTGTGGGGGCTCGACGAGCTGCACTGGGCCTGCCTGGGGCTGCTCAGACAGGCCCGACACTGGACAGGACCTGGTGAGTGAGTGAGTGAGCACAGACACACCACACAGTGGCATCTCCTCTGGCGTGTGTGCGTGTGTGTTGTGTGCAGGCAGCGGAGTGGTGTATGAGGATTTGGCTGCGGTTCAGAGTGCGGGCAAGGACGGCAAACCGCCCACAGTCATCTGCTGCCACCCACACGGCATATTCGCTGCGGTATGGCCACACACACACACTCACACACACGCACGGAGGAACACGCAGCGACGGCGTGTGTGCGGTGTCTGTGTGTGTGTCTGTCAGGGTGTTGTGGTGCTGACTTCCAACGGGGATCTGAGCGGTCTGAAGGCGCGGACCATCACCTCATCGTTTCTCTACTACTTCGCCCCCACACTCAGGTACGCACACACTCACACACACGCGCGCGCACGACGGAGCAACCAAATGAGCGTGTGTCGTGCGTGATGCATGTGATGCGTGTTGTATCAACGAATGTATCAAGGATCTTCCTGGCTCCCGCGGGTGTGCTCGGTGCGGCGAGAAAAGAGGACTTCACCAACTACATGAAGGTACCTACCTGCATGGCATGGGTCGCTCTTCGTGTGACGGCACACGTCATGCGCTTGTGTGTGTGTGTGTGTGTATTTAGCGTGGTGAGAACATGACTATGGTTCCTGGTGGCTTCCACGAGGCGACCATCTCCTGCCCACACAAAGACAGAGTCTACCTCAGAAAGCGAAAAGGTTAGTGGGAGGGAGAGAGAGAGGGAAAGGCAGGTACCACATCACGCAACACAGCACACAGCTCACAAATCGTCTGGACGTCCGTCGTGTGTGCAGGGTTTGTCAAGTACGCCCTGCAGCACGGGTATGCCCTCACCCCCGTCTACACCTTCGGCGAGTGCGACACATTCAGCAACGTACAGGTATGTGAGTATGTGAGCAGAGCAAGCAGCAAGACGCGACGCACAGCCAGACAGACAGACACACACCATAACATGAATGGCTGTGTGTGTGTGCATGGGTCTATCTGTTGTGGATGAAGGGTGGGTGGAAGTGGCGGTTTGCGCTCAACAGCTTCGGCGTCCCCACAGTGCTCTTCTGGGGCGTCCCCTTCGCACCACTACTACCACGCAGGTCACTCACAAATACCACTACAGTGGTGCGCACCCATCTTCTCTCTCTCTGTCTCTCTGTCTCTGTCTCTCTGTCTGTCTGTCTGTCTGTCTCTCTGTCTCTCTGTATGTGCAATATGTGCAGAGTGCCGATGTTGGTAGTGGTTGGGAAGCCTTTGCAGCTGCCGTGCATCCCCACCCCCACCCGCGACGAGGTGGCCGAGTACCACGAGAAGTACATCCACCACCTCCAGAAGCTCTACGACAAATTCGCACCACTCTACTACGGACACATACAGGTACACGACACGCATCATCCTATGACATTCCGGACACTCCCCGCCCGCCCCACCAATGTGCTGTGTGTGTGTGTGTGTGTGTGTCCATCCCCCAGCCGCGTGCCAACGTTGAGTCAGGGGCGGAGCACCTGCCGCAGGTGTCCAAGAGTGCGTGGAAGCCCGACGATGAGGGCGGCGGCCAGGGGGTGGCCCCCAGAAGCAACGGCGCCAGTACCAAGTGGGAGAGAGCCCTGCCCACACTCGAGGTGTGGTAGCTAGTGCTGCAGACTGGGCAGACAGACAGCAGGCGGCCCCCTGGTTTTTTCGATGTGCAGAGGGAGGGATGTTTGTCATGACTCTTTTTCGGTTTTTCTGGTGGTTTCTGACCGAGTGGTGAGTGGGCGGTTTTTGCTGGTGTGTGCGGTGCGTACACGGTTGTGTGTGCGTGGAATGGACGACAAGAAGCATGGCAGTTTTTTGATGTGCGAGCGTCGTGGAGAGTGAGTGAGTCGGCCGGCTGCTCGGCCAATTGGTGTGAAATCTGGAGGCTGCTGTGTGTTGCAGCGATGGGTGGTGACGCTTAGACAGTCTTCGCAATCACGAGCACTGTCTGCACGTCACCATGGGCTGCTGCAACACACGACAGCCTCCAAACAGCCAATCGAATGAGACTGAGTGAATTGTCGATGAGGGATGGCATGTGTACTGCCTTTCCTGTGCATTGAGTGAGGTGAGTGTCCGTTGTCTGTCTGTCTGTCTGTCTTGTCTGTCTGTCTGTCTGGCGTGGCTTTCCATGCCCCAGCATTAGTCACCTGGTAACCTTTCAGACGGTCACCAAGCGGCTGTTGTTGAGGTTTGGACAGCCTCGTCAGCGAGAGACAGGCCCACACGCCAAAGACGAGAGCAAAGATTCTCTGTTATCTTCCTTCCTGTCTATTCACACGCATTCGCATCGATAGCATCGACGGTTGTCTTATGTACCCATTGCCTCCATTGGTGCACCCACGCACATGTCAACCACATACACAGATATGCACGCCTCGCTCTGCACACGCTGCTGCTGAACGCCCCCACCCCTACCACCACCACCGCCACCAAGCACCCGTGCAATAGTGTCGCGCACATCGAGCTGAAACTTCGATGGCGGGCTGGACGGCCGCCTCTCGGCCCTTCCTAGACGGTTCTGGCTCCACTCAGCCACACGCCTCACATGCTCCAGTGTCCTCAGTGGCAGGCCGGGGAGGGCAGGCAGCACACAGTGCCCTGCTGTCAGAGCCTGAGACTCCAGACACAATAATGCGCCATCACCGCTGCCCACATCGTCACCAGGAGCATGTTCAACGCCCTCAATGCCCCTAGCCACACACGAGAAGAGCGTCGCGACCGGCAGGAGCAACAGAGGCTGACCAGTAGCAGCAGCAGCGGGCGAATGTGAAGAAGCTAGAATCACCGATGAGGAGTAGAGCAGCAGGGCAGCCGTCTGGAAGTCCTCGTTGCCCATTGCCGAGCGATCTAGGGCCTCTGTGACCTTGGATATCAGTTCCACCATCCTCACCTCCACGGAATGGCCACCTCCAAATACGTGGGGCCACATGTCCAGACGTACCAGTCCTGACATTGTCTCCGTGAGGCGGCTCGGCTCGGAGATGTAGATGTGCCCATCAGCATCCCTGGGGTGGTGCAGCAGCAGTGCGAGAGCCTTCATCAGCTGCTCGGCTCTCACGCCTGATGTCGGGGGGTGCAGACACACACACGTAAATCGAATGCGTGTATAGATCATCTGACCACCTTTCTTGCTTTATCAGGCACCCAGCTACCTGTGCAAGCAGCGGCGGTGAGCTGGCTCCGCACACACCCTTCCAGGACACCCACAGGCACGTCCACAGCAGCCGTGCTCCCAGCCACATCTCCCATCGTCCGGCCGAGCCCACCCCTGGGGTCGATTTTGTGCATGAATATGGCGATAAGGCCCTCCAGCAATCCAGACGGGGCGTCGATGCTGACCGTCGACCGACCCCACGTGTCATCGGGACACAGGTAGGCGTCGTTCTGGCCCACATTGAGCAAAGGGTGCACCATCTACACACACACACACACACACACAGAGACAGACAGACAGAGAGAGAGAGCATCACAGCGTCAAAACATTCCCTTGTCGCTCCGTATGCACACCCACCATGGCTTTCCAGCAGGATGCAGCAGCTGATATCTCGGTGAAGGAGATTGACGCTACACCGTGCCCGCTGCGGTTGCACCAGTGTGTGAGCCGTGCGATGAGCACGTCGGCAGCCGCCCTGACGGCCAGTGGGGGCGCAAGAAGGGGCGGGGCTGTGAGGACCGTCAGCAGGGTAAAGAAGAACAGGGTGGAGGGGAAGCTCTCGTGACGCGCTGACAAGCAGAGCAGGCATGGTGGGAGAGGCGCTGTCATGGCAATGTGAACTCTTGTGGCCTTGGGTACCTCTGAAGGCCGACAAGAGTTCGTCAAAGAGCTCTTTCGCCTCGACGGATGAAAAGTGCCCCGATGATACCGCCCTTCCCAACCAACCAACCAACAAACCATCGAGCATGCCTCCCCTGTTGTGTCATTTCCTTACTTCATGGTCCAGCAGATGTCTGCAGCCGTCCACAGCTCATCGGACGGCGCCGCTGTCTCGTCACGCTCCCCCTCCTTCTCATGCAGGCCAGACGCGCCGCCGTCAAGGAGTGCTGATTTGCGTCTGGTGTGGAGGAAGTTGATGACCTCATGGCACACACGCTCGTTGAGGGGCGACGCACGGTGCACCCGGCCGTTGACATACGCACTGCAGCCAGTGTGTCCAGAGAACAGGTCAACAGACATGGCTGTGTACAAGTGGGGTTTCCTCCCTACCTGAGGAGGGTGGTGAGCTCTCGGATCGGCAGATCCACATCTGTCAGCGAGGCCCTGAAAAAACAACCCAAGGCACCAAGCCGGGCAAGTACCCGATGGATGGATGGATGTCCTTACTTCTTGAGAACAGGGAGGATGCCGCCAGACGCCTGGTCGAAGAATCCCCGCATCGCCTCCGGCAGATCACCCCTGCCACTGGCATACGTGTGCAGCAGGTACACCTGCAACACACACAGCCACATCACACCACCCTGCACCCTGATGCCCTCCCTCCTCATTGCATACCGTCAGGCGTGGAGGGAAGTCATTCCGACGAATATGCGCCACCACTCTCTCTTGAACAGCCAATATCGCCCATTCCGCCTCCTCAGTGAAGCCCGGATGGGAAGACGCCAGCAAGCCAGTGCTGTGCTGTCCGTCAGCCGTGGCCACGTCGGTCGCTGCGTTGCCGAGCTGCCCATTTCGCCACTTGAGCAGCAGGGTCAGCATGGTGAACAGATCCAGAGGCTTCAGCCGATCCAAAGTCTCTGAGGAATGGACGGAGGGAATGATGAATGGAAGGCATTCACGAGTGTGGCCAACCAACCGACCAGGGACGGACCTTTGCTGAGCAGGTGCCTTGGCAGGGCGTTGAGAAGGCTCTGTGAGGGGCACCGTCCCAGCCTCATGGACGCGTTGCAGTAGTTGGCCAGTGCCTGGGGCGTGAAAGTCGGGAGCATCTCGGCCACACGATGGTCCAGCAACCCGAAAACCTCAGGATCTCTGAGAACAGACGACAGCAACACAGATCAAGGACGATAGACGTGGCGCGTGCTTTAGGGAAGGCTGTCAACTGACCCACCTGATTCGCATCTTTAGCAAGGCGTTTGCGAGATTGGCGAGGTCGACGGCCTCGAACTCGCCATCAGCGGCCTTCTGTCGCACGAGAGGCATCAACCGACCCACCAGCTCGGACCCGGTCGGCCTGCCATCCATCACACATCACACAAAGGGACAGCATGACAGCCTGAGGCTCTCCTTCTATTTGTTGTCTTTTCTGTGTCACCCACCCGAGGTCCATCTTAGAGAGTGCGAGTGCGATAGCCGCCAGGTCCTTGGCGTTCATCTGCTGCCCACCCAAAGACCTGGGCGACGTCACCTGGGCAATCAGCTGGCTCAGCAACACGGGCGATCGATGCTGAGCACCCAAACACTGACATGAACAAAAGACAGACAGAAGGCAATATCGAGCAAAAGTGGTTGGTTGGAGAGTGGCTGCTTCGCTCGCTCACACTTGCAAGGATGGCCAGCTCTCGTGGGAACAGCTCCCCTATGCCGCCCGTCCTCTCCAGGTAGCTCAGCACAGCTTTCTTAAGAGAATCATGGGGATGCTTCAGCCGGTCATACGAGTGCAGCAGCGACACCCATTCAGGCGCACTCAGCTGCTGCTGCCGTCCACCCTCTCCACTCTCGCCAGCAAGAAGCCGCACAAACAAGGCAGCCGACTCGTTCAAGAGGTTGGGGTCACGGACGTTGGTCACAGCGAACCATCCCAGCGTCTTGGCGAGCAGCTGTGGCGGGAAGAGGCTAAGTTGGCGCACGATGGATGCTGCCATGGACTTGAGGAGTGAGGTGCGGGGGTGGTGCAGCTGGGGCAGGGACATCTGCCCGATCGCGGACACGGTGATGCCGAGATCGGCTGGGCGCATCCGACTCTGCTGAGAGGCCATGGCCTGCACAACAGGAAAAGGCAACAAACAGACAGACACCATCGCTTTCGTGAAGGCAGGCAGCCCTCTGTGTGAGTGTGTGTATCTCGCTCTGTCGCTCTCTCCCTCGTCAGTGACCTGTAGTGCTTTGTTCCAGAATGCGGGATCTCTGACCATTTTCTGCTGCCACAGGTCACACGCCTTGACGCCCATCTCGTGCGGCGGCAGTGTCAGGAACTGCTGCAGATGAACACGCAGGCGGCCGCTGGCTGTGTCGGCACCGACATTCTCATCTCCTTCTGCACTGAAATGCCGCTGCTGACGCACTGCGGCAGCTGATGCTCGCCTCGCAGGCTTCGACAGCCGTCTTGGTGTGACGGCGGGAGGCCGATTCATGAGTCAGATCAAGAGTCAGCAAGGATCTACACAGGATCTACACGCCAGATGGAGCTCTTCTCGTGGCTTTCTGGAGGTGCAGCAGCGGTTTCAGGCAGCACCCTAGAAATTCTGCGAGCTAAGAGAACCTCATCACCTGTGGAAAGCGGCAACAGCGACCCTCACCACCACCATGTGAATGCCGCATTGTCGCTTTGTGACCAGCTCCCGCTGAGTGAGGCGGCATGACGTAGCATAGCGGACTAGTAGTGATATCACCGATATGGAGTGCGTGTCGCCCGAGCCGAACATTCGGCGGGGCGAGCCCACGACGCCGCCCAGCCGCCGTGATCCCAAGCGGATGTATGAGCTCGAAAACTGCGCCCCGAAGAAGACCAAGAACCGCTCTCGCGCACTGCACCCCTTCGCCACACCCGCCCCGTCTCGTTCGAACCCCTTCGGCTTTGCAGCCTTCTCGGGCGGTCCAGCAGCAGCGTCGGCGGGCCAGTTTTTGATGCGTCGTGTTAGTGTTGGTGGAGAGGGTGGGGTCGTGGGCGGTGCGACGGGGTACTCGCGGCTTCCCAATCCTGGTGGCGTGGCGGCTGCTGCGGCAGCTGCAGCTGCTGCCGCTGCCCCTATGGCACAGTCTCCGCAGCGAGCAGTACCGCAGGCTAACAAACGAACTCATGATGTGAGCGGAAGGAGCACAACGGGACGGGCCACCACTGTCTGTCTTTCGTCACATCTGCTGTGTGTGGGTGCGTTGGTTGGGTGTTCATGTTTGTGTCAGAACTTCATGAGCCACCCGTACGAGCGTCAGTTGGAGTGCAACCCTGCCCGCAGTTTCATGTCGCGCATCCACCAGGTGGCGCCGGAGGGACCGCCGCCACCCACAGGCCTCGAGGCCATGGACGGTGTTTCGGAGCGGGGCCACAATCCCGCCAACCCTGCATACCAACCCAAGAAGGCCATGCGCCGTCATGAGGTGGGTGATGAAGGACGGAGGGAAGGAGGGAGGGAGTCATGCATACGTGAGAGAACCTCATCCCTTGCTGTGTGTCTTGTGGTGTGTGTGTGTGTGTGTGTATGTACAGGGCAACTGTGCCGTCGAGAACCGTGGTCCGTTCGCGCCGGTTGCGCCCATGTTTCCCGCCAGCCCGTCCGCCGCCCGCCGCCTGTCAAAGTCACCCAACATGTCCAAGGTGCACCGTGAGATGAACCGCCTGGGCATCCTCTCACGGAAGCGCACCAAGCCCTCGAGTGCATCGCGCCTCCTGCAGCCTGGCAACGGCGGCAGTGGCAGCGGGATGGAGGTGGAGCAGCCGGGCAGCGGTGCGGGTGCCATGATGGACCTCACGGACCATGGCGCCAGCCAGGGGGGAGAGGGGGGGCAGAGGCACGGCAACGGGGGGACGGTGGTGGGTAGCGTGTTTGGGGCTGGTGTGGTGCCGGCCATCGGCAGCCTGGCGCAGCCGTTCGGCGCTGCTCCTGCTCCTACTGCCGTTGGCGTTGGTGCTCCTCCCGTGCCGGTCTTTGGCGTGCCCCGTGTGGCGGATGGCCAGACGACCCCTCCCCGCCAGCAGGCGGCTGTGGGTGCGGCTGTGGGTGTGGGTGTGGGCGGTCGTCCCCCCCGCCCCCCCACCAACCGGCGGGGACCCAACCGGCCGCGCACGAGGGCCCAGCACGCACTTGAGGCCGCGGCACAGAAGGTCGCCAACAACCCATTCATCCCTCCCTCGCCGTCACGACGGGTCAGTGCAGATGGCAGACACAACACAGACACAGACAGTGACAGTCGGGGGGGGGGGGGGGGGGG